CAACACTGGGAAGGCACTCAACAAGCATTTTCTGTGTCTAAATGAACCCTCCCCTGAGATCCCAGCAGGGTCACAGCCGGAGAGCTGGAAGGAACCTTAGTCCAAGGCCCTCCTGTTACGGAGAAGGAAACCGAGGCCCAGGACTCTGAGGTGTTCACCATGTGAGTGTGGGGGAAGTGGGGCGGGGTGGGAGGCAGCCTGCTGTTGGGAGGCAGGAAAGGCCTGGCCTCTGATCCTGCTTCTGACACTTACTAGCTCTGTGACCCAGGGTGAAATGATCACCCTCTCTGAGGTTCAGCCTCCTCCCTGTAAAAGGGAGATGATGAGACAGGCCTCACTGAGTGGTTCTGAGAACAGCCGGGATCCTGTGTCAAGGCTTGAGAGATGGAGGGGAAGGGTCAGCCAGCAGCCCAAGGCCTCGGGTGCCCTTGGTGTGACTGGCACCTGGCCCACGGCTGCCTGGGAGCTCTCCGTGTGCAGGGAGGAGATGGAAGGGCCTGAGGCTCTGAGGAAGGATCTGAGTGCAGGGCTGGGGAGCATGTGTGGGTGCAATGGGAGGGGGATAAGGGTTTCAAAGAGTGACACGGGGAGAGGGCAGAGGCGGCGAGCCCAGTTAGACTGGACGTGAGCATGTTCTGGCTACTCACAGAGGCCTGAGCAGAGAAAGACTGTGAGAAGGAGGGAGGTTGGGGCCTAGGCTATGAGGATCTGGGCATGAAATAATCAACCAAAAACCATTTGTCAAGGGTTCATGATATGTCAAACACAGTGCGAGATCCTGAAGACAAGAAGGAAACAAATACAGTACAAAGAAGGAAACTCCCCTAGTCCCTAAGAGTTTACCTTTAACTAATATTACGTAACCTCTGTTAGCGTCTCAGTTTCCCCATCTGTACAATGAGGGCCCTGTACCAGAAGCCTCTGAGGTCCCTTCCAGCTTGAGATTGAGGATTGTACAGCCTTCCCCAAAGCCTGGGATCCACCCCGAAGCACCCCCAAAGAAGGCTCCCTCCTCTCCCCTGTGCTAACAAGCCTTCCAGAAATACAGCACATGATTCACACTGATGGGAGAAAAAAAAAGAGAAACAGAGAGTGAAAGAGAGACACAGAAACAGATGCAGAGATAGAGACAGATTCAATTCAAGCAACATTCATTAAGCACTAACTAGTACAGTGAATAAAACCCTGGGCTTGGAGTCAGGAAGCACTGAGTTCAAATCCAGCCTTGGGCACTTACTGTGTGACCCTGAGCAAGTCACTTCACCACTGGCTGCCTCAGTTTCCTTATCTGTAAAATGGAGACAATAGCAGCACCTCCCTCCCAGGACTGCTGTGAGACTCAAATGAAATAATATTTGTAAATCACTAAGCACAGTGCCAGGCAAATAGTAGGTATTTAAATGCTTCTCTGGGTCTGGGAAAGGGGGGTTCCCTACAAGGTATAGTGCAGGGGATACAAAGATGAACAAGTCTGGTTCAGCGGAAAAATCGTTCTGGGACTGGGAGGCAGGGGACCTGGATACATCCCTGGCTTTGCCACTTACTAGCTGTGTGACCTTATTCAAGTCACTTAACTTCAACGGGCCTTAGTTTCTTTATCAGTAAAATGAGGGGGTTGGACCAATCCTCTGGATGAGGCCATGATAAAAACCAAACAAAACCCCAAAACAGCCCCATCCCCAAGGAGCAGGCAAATATAATTCAGGGTAGAGAGAGAAGGGGACAAAGGAGAAATCAGACTAAACAGGCTGTGGGAAAGCTTGAGGGGGACCTTGAAGAAAGCTGAGGCTTCTGAAAATCGGCAAAGGGAAGGGAGTAGCTTTTGGGGCCTGGGGTGAGTCTGTGCAAGAATCAGGGAGATACGAGACTGAGTATCTAGTTTTGAGAAGAGCAAACAGACCCATTCAATGGGAACACTGAGTGGTGAAGGGGAGTAATCCCGAGTGGGAGTCATGGCAGCAGGCCTCAGGACGGCTCCTCTGATGGTGCGTAATGGAGAGGGGAGAGAGGGGGACCAGACAGACTGAGGAGGGGGTTATTCCAGTCATGCCAGGAATGAGTAGCAGAGGTCTGACCCAGAGTGGTGGGCTAAGGCTAGAGAGGCTGTGCAGAAGGGAGGACCCGGTTTGGTAACTGACTGGATGTGGGGAGTGAAGGAAAGTGGAGGGCCAAAGCTGCCCCCAAGCTTCTGGCCCGAGATGACCGGGGGAGGGAGAAGGATGACGAGTGGAGCTGGAGATTTGTCTCAAGTGAGGTGCTGATGGGGTGTCCAGGCAGAGATGTCCAGTAAGAATTTGGAGATGAAAGACTAGAGCTCAGGAGAGAGAGAGAGAGAGGAGAGGTCTGAGAGCCATTTGTGTGGAGATGATATCCAAATTCAGGAAAGCACATGAGACTGCTGAGCTGAGAAAGTGTGGGCTTATGTGGAGACTTGGGGACACCCCCACTCTATGGGGGCAGAAGGAGAGGATGGGGAGAATCGTATTCTGGATCCCCATGGCTGCTGGTGGCCTCCCTCCCAAAATGCCTCACGTTCATTTGCATTTCTTCCCTTTACATTTCTTCTACATAGACTTTTATATGTCCCTGCAGTCTTTCCCATTAGAAGGCAAGCTTTTTGTGAAGAAGGATTGTTCCATTCTTTGTCCCAGTACAACAGCTTGGTACAAAGGATGAATTGATCAACAAGGATTTGGCTGGAAGGGGGAGTCTATCACCCTCTCTGAACGCAGATCTCTCTCTCTCTCTGTGTCTGCCTCTCTCTCTCTCTCCCTCCTTTCTCTCTCTCCCCTGCCTCTTCTCCCCCCTCCTCTCCTCTCTCTCTTCATGATCCTTCTCTGACTTTCTATCTCCCCTTGTGCTTCCCTCCTCCTAAGCCCATCTTGTCCTCCCCATTCCCTCGGGCTCCTCTGGTGCTCCCCTCACCAGTGATGCCTTCCTCCCCCCCCCCCCCGCCCCCCCCCCTTGGCCCCTACCCAGTCTACCACATCCTTGACGATCCCCAGCCAGTAGTACCGGCTCTGGATCCGATGCACCGTCTTCTTTTGGCCCAGGTGGTGTCCAACCTCTGTGAAGTGGCTTTCTAAGAACACCTGATGCCGTCTCTCAGGGTCCACCACCACCTCCCTCTTCTCCTCTTTCTTTGGTCCCACGTAATACAGGCAGCCCCCTTTGGGAAATAGGTTAAAGTAGGCAGGTGGCACCTGACATTCCCATCCTCCCCCAGGGGTGCAGGGGATGAGGTGGGTGGTGGCACCAAGAATGGTGGTAGAGGACAGAGCTTAGGACATAGGTCCCAGAGACAAACCTCCCCAGAGGTCAAATCTCATCATGTCTCCCCTTCTTCTCCAGGCTAAACAGCCCTATCTGCACTTGATCTCAAGGACCTACACCATCCTCTGCCCTATTCGGGAAACCCTCTGGAAATGGGCACCCAATTCATAGCAGCATCTGGTGGTAACAAAACACTGGGAACAAAGTGGGTTGGATGCCCGCTGACCGGCCAAAGAAACCAGCATATGAATATAATGGGACATCGTTGGACTTTGGGAAGTCACAAGTACAAAGTCTTGAGGCTGACTGTGATCGCTGCTTCCTTTTCTAGATATTCATGTACCATCCCTTTAATGCTTTGTTCCAGAATTTTGACCAGAATCAAAGTCAAGTTCACTGGCCCACAGCCTACTTACTCTTTCCTGTTCTGTTCCTTTATTGGATAATTGAGACATTGGCTCGTCTCCAATTCTAAAGTGGCATTCTTGTTTTCCCTATCATTCAGCTTCAGGTTACCCATAAATTTATACCAGGTCTCTAAGGTTCCTATGAAGCCCTAAATCCTAAGACCTAAGGGCGGCCAGTGGATAAGAAGGAAAGGTAACCTATAAAGGAGGGAAATTGTGGATATACTGCATTAAAGGAGGAGGGGCTTTGTGGGGAACTAGCCTAGGTGGGGAGGGGGGAGGGATCCTACAAGGAGTTGGCACTGGTATAGGGGAAGTGAGAGGGTAGTTTAAGGAAAGGGCGCAGTATAAGGAAGAGAAGGCATAGACTAGAAGGGGTGAAGTATTAGCAAGCACAACATAGAGGGGAGATAGTATAGCATAGAGAAACTAAGTATGGGGCCACAGGGAAGAAGCCGCAGGACGAGGCACTGTGTCAGAGAAGGAAGGAAGCAAACATTTATTAAGTGCCATCAGCAAATATCTCGTCTGATCCTCACAAGGACCCAGAGAGGTAGGTGCTGGTATTATCCCCATTTTGCAGGTGGGGAAACTAAGGCAGACAGATGTGAAGTTTCTTGCCCAGGACCTAGAGTCAATCAGAACTGAGTCCAAATCCAGCCTCAGGCACTTACTAGCTGGGCAAGGCATTTCAGGGCTGCCTGCCTCAGTTTCCCCACCTGTAAAATGGGGATAACAGCACCCACTTCCTGAGTTTATTGTGAGGGGTGAACCTTTAAAAGCTGTTATTATTGCTAGTTAACTGTTATTATTAACGAGAGCAGGCTACGTATGGAGGGGTGCGGAATCTGGAAGGGCGTCGTCTACAGGAAGAGTCAGGAGGGGGCGGGTATACCGGGCACCGCGGGGGGGCGAGGCGCAGACCAGGGGGCGGCACCGCGCGGGGGAGGGGCGGCGCGGGTGCCAGAAGCGCTGGAGGCCGAGGAGGGCCCGGCACGTGGAGGGAGGAGCGGCGGCCCGCGGCCAGCGCGCGTGCGCGGCGGAGACCGAGGAGGCTCGGCAAGGGGCGGGGCCGCGGGCGCGCGGGCGGGGGCGCGGTCACGGGCGGGGGCGCGCTCACCCTCGAGCACAAACTTCTGCGCGTAGCGCTTGAGGTTCTTGCGCTTGATGGAGCCGAAGGCGGGCGGGAAGGCGCCCTCGGCCAGCAGGCGCCGGATGTCGGCGAACTTGTTCCCGCCGGGGCCCGGGCCGGGCGCAGTGGCCGCCGCCGCCGCCGTTTCCTCCTCCTCGGGCCCCTGTGGCGGCCCCACGGCTCCGTCCATGGCTGCGGCAACCGCCGCCGCGGGGGCAGCCCGGACACTATTTCCGGGGACACCCGAGGAGGCGGGGCTGAGGGGAGGGAGGAGGCCGGTATAAGGGAGCGTCGGCCAAGAGGCGCCCGCAGCCACCTGCGAAGTTCCCAGGCAGGGTTCGTGTGTCAAGAATGAATCTTGGTGCCGGGCGCACAGACTCTTTTCGGAAGGGCGTCTACTTCAACCCCTGTACCTCTCCTGTCCCGCTATCCACTGACCCCCGAAAACCCAGGAGAGTGGATGGGGAGCCTCCCGCCATCCCTCTCAGAAGCTGGCAGGGGGTTGGGATGAAACGGATTGGATTTAAGCAATGGGAGTGGGCGAGGGTTAAAGAGTGGGGGACATCCTGGTGGAGGGTCCAGCAGGCAGTTGGAAGAGGCCACCAGAGCGCCCGGGAGAGAGAGAGGTCAGGGCTGGAGCCTTTGCTTGGAGGAGAGGGGAGGAGCTTTTAGACTGAGCTTCTCGAGGGCAGGGACTGTTTTTTTGGGACGTAGTAGGTACTTTATAGGTGGTTCGGTGGATAGACAGCCAGACAACAACAAAGGTGCTTAATAAATGCTGTTTGACCGACTTACTGACCAAAGGAAAAAGGATCCAGGACAGAGATGCAAGGATCACGGACCATGAAGCCTCATGCGCTGTCTTGCCCAACCACCCCATCCCAATTTTGTTGTTGTTCAGTTATATCTGACTCTCCATGACCCCGTTGGGGTTTTCTTGGCAGAGATACTGAAGTGGTTTGCCATTTCCTTCTCCAGTTTGTTTTACAGATGAGGAAACTGAGGCAAACAGGATGAAGTGACTTAACTAGGGTCATAAGTGTGTGAGGTGGGATTTGAACTGAGGAAGATGAGTCTTCCTGACCCCAGGCCTGTCACTCTATTCACTGCAACACCTGCCTGCCCTAACACAGAGAAAACAGACCTAGGAATGATTCATCCGAGGTCACATAGCTTAGTAAGAAGGATGAGGTGATTTAAATTCTGGTATGGAAAGGGATGGTGTGTAGAGGGGGCATATAGAAAGATGCTCAGTAAGTTAATTCCTAATAGACCAGCGTATGGGGTGTTCAGGGAGGACTAGCCCCTATGGTGGGAGGCCGGCAGAGCCTTTTCAGCACCGCTCCTCTACCTTTGGGGTCCACCTTCACCTGGGTCTCACTTGTGACTCCAGTGGTCACACCTCAGTAAACCATCTCGGCAGATGGGCTGAGCCAGATTAAGGGAAATCAACAGATCTCAGACCCGCTGGTAAGTTAGGGGAGTGTCCCCGCCAGCATGTAAAGACCCTTCCCAGTGAAACAGGTGGATGAGAACTCTTGGGTCCATGGCCACGAAGGTGGCTGAATCGGGTGCCGGTAGAGCTTGGAGCTTGTTCAGGCATTGAAGCCGCCAAGGTCACCCACTGTGTCCCAGGCCGTCGATGGGCTGGACTTTGATGACTGCTGAACTCCCTGCAGCTCCGCCTCACTTGAATCTGATTCACTTGAAAGTCAAGCTATCACCTGTGATGTCGTTGGTCTTTGAAAACAAAGTGAAGGAATAACAACTAGCCCACTGAGGTGCATTACTATAGAGATCTTCAAATCCAATCTCTTTTTTAACAGATGGGAAAACTGAACCCAAGGCAGTGCTGTAACTAAAGTGGAGTGACTGATAGAGATCCTGATACAGAGTCAGCAAGAATACGCATTACTGGGATGGTGGCTATGCGTCCTAGTGAATTCATCTCCTGCCCTTCTGAATTTCCATCCCTCAGATATCCAGGTTTTTTTTTTTTTGTTTGTTTGTTTTTTTACTCCACACTTCATCTCCTTCATCATCTGAATTTGTCTTTAACTAGTTGACTTGAAAAATTGTTGGGTGCCCAAATTAGTGAGTGATGTGCCCAAGGTCAAGCACAGTCTCCTGCTTAGTCCAGGGCCCGTTTTCCAACTCTGCCAATAGACCCAAAGTTGTTTTAATTATTAATCAGTAAGTCTCCAAGCCCGTGTCATGTGAGGCTTGGATGAAGGAACTACAGCCGTTTAGCCCCAGGAAAAGATCCTGGGGGAGCAAGGTAGTTACCTTTGGGTATTTGTTTGCTCTGATTGGCCACAGAGGGTAGAATTGGGGGAAATTAGAGAGGTAGGTTTAGGTCTGATGCCAGGGAGGCGCCACTGCCCCCGGAGGTAGTGAGTCACCCGTCGATGTGGCACCAAGTAAAGGCGGAATGCCATTTGGTGCCGAGGCTGTCAATGCCGGGACGTGTGACCTAGTGAGATTGGGAGCTGTTGTCCTTGGGATAGCCTGGCTTCAAGCCCAGCCTCTGACCCATGCTGGCTTCGGTGATCCTGGATGTGGCCGTTGGCGCGTATTTGATCTGGGATGTGTGACCTTCACATCTCCGAGGGTTCTTAGACTCCTGGTTTCTTCACCTGCAAAATGAGGGGGTGGGACTAGCTCTCCGCCCTAAATCCTCCCTGTCAGTGTAGATTGGAAAGAACGCAGACGTGACCAGTGGACCTGGGTTCCAGGCAAATTGCTTCCTTCCTCTGAGCCTCAGTTTTCTCATTTGTGAAATGGGAATAAACATTTGTCATCTCTACTTCTCGGGGGTTGTTGTGAGGATCGAATGTGCCTATAAAGCACTTTGCGGACCTTCATCAAATTGCTGCGTAAATGAACCTCCTCCTACTCCTTTGTAAAGGGGGTGGGGGTGGGGGGCGGGACATTGACGATGTTGCCAGATTTTATTCAATGTATCAATCGGTTTTGCTGATTTTTCTCTCTTCCCCCTTTTCTTTCTTTTTAAAAAAATGTTATAAGGGATGAGGGATGGGATACTGGGGAAATAAAAACTTATTTGAAAAATAAATGTCCGCTATTCTCATCTCCTGGCTTCCCTGGGCCTCGGTTTCCTCCTCTGTAAGATGGGCGGTTGGCCTCGAGGTGCTGGAGTTACAGGACCTCTTCCTTCTTGGCGCTCCGCGCGCAGCTCCCCATTGGGTCCTGATCCCTAAGCGCCGGAAGGCTCTCCGCCTTTCCCGGGTCTGGGCGTTTGGAGTCGTTCCCTGGTGTCCCCGGGGGGGGGGCGGGGCAGAGGGCGGGCCGGGTCCCTCGGCACCGAGGAGGTCCTACGGGGGCCGGGCAGGGCCAGCGACCGCGCGGCCCCGCGCCGCGCTCCCGGCCCGCGCTCCGCCTGCGGCTTGTGCCCGGCGGGGCGCCATGGCGGCGGCCGGGGCCGGGGCCGGGGCCGCGGCGCGGCGGTTTTTCCGCTGTAACTGCTTCTGCTCCGAGCACCTCTTCCTGCCCCGCTATCGGCTGCACGTGCGCTACCTGGAGGAGCAGCAGCTGCGCCAAGACTACGGCCTGGTAGGACCGCGGCCGATGGGACAGCGGGGGAAACTGAGGCACGGGCTCCTTCCGGGGCCAGGTTTGAAGCCGGGGCGTAGCGTGGAAGGACCCATCGGAGGGGCGGGCATCGCTGGGGTGGCATCTCGGAGCGCGTCCGGTCCAGCCTGAGGCCCAGAGAGGGCCCGGCGAGTGCCCGGAGCGGTCCAGGCCGGAGTGGACAGCAGACAGCTGCTGGGGGGAGGTCTTAGGTGGGAAGACCCCAGTTCAGATTCGGCCTCGGACGCTTCCCCTCGGCAGCCAGTTCCCCTTTGCCTCAGTGCCCTTCTCTGGACCTCAGTCTCCTTGTCTGTAAAATGACCTCCACGGCCCTATCCAGCTCTAAATCCTGTGCTTTTATAGCTTGTGCAGCCGCGATGGTCAGCTGCTTCTGAGCAGGATGAATAAAACATTGATTAAGCACTCACTGTGTACAGAGCACCTGCACATAGGAAAGTCAGACAGCCCCTGCTCACGAGGAGCTAACAACACCCACATAGGGAGGTGTCAGTGCAAGTCACACGGACAAGGCCCCTGGTCCTTGGGTTTAGGTCCAGCCTCAGACCCGTACTAGCCGTGTGACCCTGGGGCACGTTATGCTTAACCTTACTCATCTGTAAAATGAGGATAATAATCTTTCCTACCTCCTAGCGTGGTTGGGATAATCAAATGAGATAATATACGCGAAGCCATTATTATTGAAAGGCCGTACGTTTCTTAGAGGAGAGATGTAACAGAAAGAACACCAGGGCTGGAGTCAGAGAACCAGAGTATGGTCAAATTCTGACCATACTTCATGTCATCCGTGTGACCTGGTGCCTTAGTTTCTTCATTCTGATAAAGTGGGGTGGGGGGTGGGATTAGACCACTTGATATGAGTGAATGATCCTAATGAGGCAAATGCTCCCTCTAGCGGATTCCTGTAGAAATGCCCTTTGGCAGATAAAGACGCCAGACCCTGAGAGATTGAGTCCCATCTCCAATAGTTACCCGCTGTGTGACCATAAGCCAATCACTGAACCATTCTGAGCTGGTTTCCTTAATGGAGGCAATAATAACTCCCCTAGTATCTCCCTCACAGAGTTGTGGTGAGGATCCTTAAAACGTTCAATAAATGTCTGCCATTTTTGCTACAGGGGGTGAGTTGAAGGTTGGGTGACGGAAGGGGAATGGAGGCTATATTTGGAAATAAAAGAGAGGCAAAAACAAAGGTATCGATTAAGATCTAAAAAGCCCCCCAAAGGTCAGCCGTTATTGTTAAGTGTTCCTGTGATTTAGAGCAAGGCAAGACTCTAAAACCACTCAATCCAACTCCTCATTCTTTAAAAAAAAAAAAGCTATTGACATTTTTTGTTCTTATGTCACCTTCATTTCCAAATATAACCCTCTTCCTTTTCCTCCCCAGAGAGCCAGCCTTTCTAACAGAAAATAAAATAAGGGGGAGGGGGAAGCGGTTTAACAAACCTAGCCTAACCATTAATCAAGTCTGACATCGTATATAGCACTCTGCACTCTTGGTCTCCTCATTTTATGGATGAGGAAACGGAGGAGGGAAGGGATTTGCTTAAGGTCACACAGAGCCGGGGAGGAAGCCCGAGGTGTGCAGACCTCAAGTCTAGCAGTGTTTGTTGTTTCCCCTGCACTGTGTTTCCCTCTGTGTTCATCCGGGGAGATTATAAGGAGAGCATTTTGTAAGAAAGTGAAGTGTTTTGTCATTGAGGGGTGCCATTGTGAATTCCTCCATTCTTCAGAAAGATCTGTGATTTCATCAGTTTGGGTACTCTTTCCCTTTGTGGGTGAATTACACCCCTTGTGCTTTTGCTGACGATGTTACATCGCCCAGTCCATCTCTCTGTGAGGCTTACGTGTTTTACAAAATGCTTTCCTCAAAACAACCCTTTGAGGTGGGCGACATTAACCCAATCTTACAGGTGAAAGGTATTATTGCCGTCTTTTCACAGATGGGGAAACTAAGGCACGGAGGGGCTAAATGATAGACTTGGAGCCTGAGGGGTCACAGTGTCTGAGGCTGGATTTGAATTCAGGTCTTTCCTACCTCCAGGTCCGCTGCGTTGCCTGGCTGTCTCATATTTGTTACCTCTTTGCTGACCTTCTTGTGCTGAGCCTCTCTGAATTGAGTTAGGCTGTTTGTAAATTTAGAAATGGAAAGGACTTCAGACATTTATGAGCTCTGGACTTGCAGACAGGTCTAGAAAGACCACTAGCGGTGTGAGCCTGGACAAGTTACGTCACTGCCGTCTGCCTCAGTTCCCTCATCTGTAAAATGTGGATAATAAGAGCACCTCCCTCCCAGAATTGTTGTAAGGACCCAATGGGATAGTAACTGTAAAGTGCTTCGCACGGTGCCTGGAATATAGTAGGTGATTAATTAATGTTAGCTATTATTAAATTACCCAGTCATAGGATCACAGCTCTGCAGCTGAAAAGGACCTCAGAAACCGTCTGGTCTAACTCTTTCATTTTATCAGAGGAAACTGCAGCCCAGGGTCACACAGGTCATGTCAGAGGTGGGATTGGAACCCAGGCCCTCTGACTTCAAAGACTGTGCTTTTCCATCCAGTAAGGTTGTATAGTCCAACCCCCTCCTCCCCCATTATAGATTGGGAAACTGAGGCCATGGGCTCTTTGAGGCTTTTGCAGTTTGGTAGGACCTGTGGGGTGGGGATAGCACTTGGGCTCTCCTGTGAGCCCTGGGGAGGCCCTTAGTTGGGGGGTTAGCCCCGGGGGCATGCTCTCTACCCACCCCTTCCTTTGTCTATTCCAGGTCCTTAAGAACCGTGGCTGTGTGAGTCCTGAGGACTTTGAGCAGGTGTTGGCTGAGGTAACAATCATGCCCCATGCCCGTGAATTTTTGTGCTCACTCCTCCAGGGAAAACGGAAGTCGGGAAGGCTTGGGTTCAAATCTGCAAGTCTACCCCTGACACACACTGGCTGTGTTACTCTGGGCGAGTCGCTTGACCTCTTACTGCCTCCAAGCAGCTCTCTTAAGACTATAGCATGCAGAGAAGGTACCAGTCGACACTGGTAGAGGGAGTCTCCTTACCTGGGAGTTTCTTATAGCAATGAAATCAGGCCGGTCCCTACACCCCATTGTTATTCTTATTGTTTGTGTTGCTGTCGTCATCACCCGTAGCTTGACAAGGAGGTCCAGCGAAGGAAGCAGCTGGTTCAGCAGGCCTCAGAGAGGAAAGCCACCATTGCCCGATGCTACCTCCCAGTCCAGCCCCAGGTGTATGGCTTGCAGGTGCGTCTAGGTGGGGAGGGCCCAGAAAGGGTAGTGGTGGTACTGTAATAGTAAAGGTAGTGGCGGGGTGTGAGCAGCCAGCCCTGGGTGAGACGTGATGGACTCTTAGAGTATCTCCGGCCTCAGCAACACGGGCCATGTTTATCAGCGCAGACAACCTCTTCCTCCCCCTTAAAGTCCAGTGGGGAAGCCAAACTGTTTTTGGGTGTACCCCCACCCTAGCCCCAAGGGGCTCTCTCGATAAACACCAATAACTCCCCGAACTCTTTGATGGGGACATTTCCCCCTGTGAGATGTATATATATATATATCTCTTATCCATGCCTGCCCTTCCTGTACAACTCAAACCTGCCAAGTGCACCCCTCCAATGGGGGCCTCTTTTCGGTTCTCTTAACATTAAGCGGATCCCAATAGAGTCACCGTCTTTATAGCGGTTATTCCTTACTAACCCATCTCTTTTTCCCCTTGGGTCATATATTTCCCTTGATGCTAACCTTTGTATTTCCCTTGTGTAATTCCTGTTTTGTAATGTGCCTGGACTAGCTCTCCCCATGAACTTCTTCACTGCTCAGCCTGGCAGCAACCTAGCGGAGAAGCCAGTGCCCTTCCAAGTGTCTGTGGTGGAGTCATTCACTCTCTGTGTAGAGCGTATGGGGTGTATGAGTTTTCACAGCCAACACAAACGCACAGGACAGTTCTGTTATAACCAGATTATTATTAGTTTAAACATATTACATGTTAGTTTAAAATGTGTTAGTTTATATATTGGTATATTAGTTTGAATAATATATTGGTTTAAAAGATGAATTTCATGTAACAGAATTTCGGGGTTCCTGTGCAGTCCTCTTTTCTGCTGTCTTTGGTATACTCAAATGTTCCCGTTCATCTCTGATTGTTGAGTTTATTGAGGTGGTGCCGTGGTGCGTAGAGCATTGGACCTGGAATCAGGAAGACCTGAGTTCAAATCCAGCCCCAGAGACTTGCTAGCTGTGTGACCCTGGGCAAGTCACTTCACCTCTGTCTGCCTCATTTTCCTTATTTGTAAAATGGGGATAATAACAGCACCAACCTCTCAGGGTTACTTCAAGACTCAAGTGATATTATATTTGTCAAGCACTTTGGGAACCAGAAAGTGACTCTGTACATGCCAGCTATTATTATTAATTATCAGAATAAATTTAAAAACCCCAAACCCTCTTAATTGGGTAAATTGGTCCCTTTTCATTGAGCTTTCCTGTTGGACTCTCTCAGGGTATGTGGTGTTCCCAGAGGCTTCGTCCAGACCCTTTCACTCACTGTTTGTTCCTGGCTCTGGCCTCCCTTGAGGGCCAGACAGAACAAAGCTGAGCCCTCTTTCTCAGGGACACCCATCTCTTCAAGAATGTAACAACTCTTTGGTTTGGAGAGCTTTCATAGCACCTAGCAAATTAATCCCTGGGTCAGCATTTATTAAACACCTACCTCCTCTGGTCCCTGGAAATAGGAAAACAGAACCTGTCCTCAGTGAGCTTCCATTCTGTAGGAATGACACAAATTAGGAGCCCTTTGAGGGCAGGGACTATCTTTTTTCATATCCCTAGGGCAATGCCTGGCACACAGTAGGTGCTTAATAAATGCTTGTTGACTTACAGGAAACTCCATTTGTACTGTACGCTCTTTTAGGGAGGATACCTGGTTCCAGACTGATGTCCAGGCCTTAAGAAGCTCCCAGGCACAGGACTCTGGGCGGATGGCCTGGGATGATGTTGTTTCTTTCTCCCCCCCCCCCCCCCCCCGCCCCTGCCCCAGGAGCGGTTTATGGCCTCAGAGTTTCGATCTGTTGTTCAGTACTGTGCGACCCCAGATGCTAACCTTCCAGGCCTCCTCGAGCGCATCGAGACCTTGTCAGGTAAGGCCCAGTGGGTCCAGTCCCCTGAAGGACCCGCCTTCCACCCCCAGTGACAGACTGACTTCCACGATAATAATCTCAGTTCACATGTCCATGGTTTTGCCAGGCCCTTCCTTTAGGCCAGTGGCCCCATCTTGGCCTAGCCTTCTCCTCCCCTCCTCGCCCTGTATGTGGAATGGAAGCTCCTGGAAGGCAGGCAGGCACTGGCCGGCTTTTCGAATATTCCCAGTGCTTAGCACAGTGCTTGGGCATGCAGTAAGTGCTTACTAAGTGCTTGTTGACTTGTAGACCAGCCCAGTGAGGGTGGTAGCACAAGGATTGTTGACTCATTTTACGGATGCGGCTCAGAGGGTTGTAGTGATTTGCCCAAGAGCTCATAGGTTCTTGGGTCAGAGGGCAACCAGTGCGACTCTGCCCTTTGACTGGTGAGGAAACTGAGGCCCAAAGGGGGCAAGTGATGGGGTAAGCTTTATATCGATGTGAGCAAGATGTACGTTAGGGTTGTAGGATTGAGATATAGAAGGGAACCTTAGACCTCTTCTGGTCCCAGCCCCTCCTTTCAGAGATGAGGAAGCAGACCCGGGGAGGGGAGGCCACCTGCCCGAGGTGAACAAAGTACCAGTCAGGTGTTGAACCAGGCTCTTCTGAGGTCGTATCCTGTGTCTTTTCCACTGGCGCAAACTCCCTGACTTACGGGCACAAGCATACTATGTGTGTGTGTTTAACTGAATGTATCTGTGTGTGTGTATGTGTGTTTGTGTCTGACTGTATATATCTGTGTGTGTCTGACTATGTGTCTGTCTGTGTGTATGTGTATCTTTGTGTCTGTGTGGTTGTGTATCTGTGTCTGTGTATCTGTGTCTCTGTGTGTATATATCTCTGTGTCTGTGTATGTCTGTGTCTGTGTATTTGTCTGATTGTGCGTATATATCTCTGTGTCTGCCTGACTGTGTATATTTGTATATGTCTGACTGTGTGTGTATACCTCTGTGTGTGTGTCTGATTGTGTCTTACTGTGTGTGTGTATCTGTGAGTCTGGCTGTGTGTATGTATCTCTGGGTATGTATGTCTCTCCGTATCTGTCTGACTCTGTGTGTGTGTGTGTGTGTGTGTGTGTGTGTGTGTGTGAATCTGGCTGTGTATATGTATCTCTGGGTGTGTGTGTCTCTGTATCTGTCTGACTCTGTGAGTGTGTGTATATCTGTGTGTCTAGCAGTGTGTTTGTCTGGCTTTGGGTATATGTGTGCCTGGCTGTCTGGCTGTATGTGTCTGTGTATTTGTCTGATTGTGTGTGTATATCTGTGTGTCTGCCTGATTTTGTATATTTATATGTCTGATTGTGTCTTACTGTGTGTGTGTGTGTGTGAGTCTGGCTGTGTGTATGTATCTCTGGGTGTGTGTGTCTCTGTATCTGTCTGACTCTGTGTGTGTATGTGTGTGTGTGTGTGTGTGTGCATGTGCGTGTCTGTGTATCTGTGTGTCTAGCTGTCTGTGTGTCTGGCTGTGGGTATACACGTGCCTGGCTGTCTGGCTGTCTGTGTCTGTGTGACTGCATCTGGCTTGCTGGGCCAGTGCTGGGGAGGAACCTTTGAGTGTCGGGGTGCCTGTCCCCTCTGCAGAGGAGAAGAGGATTTACCGGCTGCCAGTTTTCACCCTGGACTTCTGCCGGATGCTGCTGAAGGAGCTGGAACACTTTGAGCAGTCGGACATGCCCAAAGGGCGGCCCAACACCATGAATAACCACGGGGTAGGCGCAGCCCCCAGGCCCCCAGGGAGTGCAGGGAGGCCCCCCGCTCTGGCCCCTACTTGAACCCCCCAGGCCTCGGAGGGGGACTTCAGACAGGCGAGGCAGACTCAGAGATCTGGAACAAGAGGGGACCCCTGAAGCCCGTTCCCTCTTTTTAGAGAGGCACAGGGAGTCCACGGGACCATAGAGCCGGCGCTGAAAAGGGACCTTTCTAGAGGAGGGGCCTGAAGGGGAATGACTTGTCTGAGGTCACCCAGGGAGTAAGTAACGGAGGTGGCTTTTGAACCCAAATCCTCTGGCCGCTGCAGTTCGGCCCGTGGCTGGCTCCTTTCTTGGCCTAGGTCCTGTTGTACGAGCTGGGTCTGGACGAGCCCTTGGTGACCCCCCTCCGGGAGGAGTACTTACAGCCCCTCACTGCCCTCCTGTACCCCGATTGTGGAGGGGGGCCAGCTGGACAGCCACCGCGCCTTTGTGGTGAAGTACACCATGGACGAGGACCGAGACCTCAGCTACCACTTCGACAATGCCGAGGTCACCCTCAACATCTCACTCAACAAGAACTTCTCGGAGGGCAGCCTTTACTTCGGAGACTTTCGTGAGGTACCCACCCCTCCCCCCATCTCCGCTACTTGGAGTTTAATCAAGGAACACGCATTTATTAAGCACTTACTGTGTGCCAGGCTCTTCTAGTCAGGGAGACAATAGAACTCAGACAGAGGTTGTCTCATCCAGCCCCCTGGTTTTACAGAGGAAGAAACTGAGGCCCGGTGGGGGGGGGGGGGAGAGAAATGACTTGCATAAAGTCACAGTGCTGGAAGCCAGTCAGAGCTGGAACCCAGGTGTTCTGACTTTCAAGTAGAGAGCGGGTCAAAGGAGGGAGTGCACTTCAGGTATGGGAGTGGGGGAATGGCCTCTGCATAGGTGTGGAGGCCAGAGTGCCCTGTGTAAGGGCAGCAGGCGGGCCTGGGGGGCTGGCCCAGAGTGTCACGTCCCTAGAGGCTGCCCGGGGCCTGGGGCTGGGGGCTGGGAAAGGCAGCCCACCTCACGAGCCCCTCTGCTTTGCAGGTGTCGAGCAAAGAAGTGCACTACCTGGAGGTGCCACACGTGCTGGGCCACGGGGTGCTGCATCGGGGCGGGCAGTTGCACGGGGCCCTGTCCTTGGAGTCTGGAGAACGATGGAACCTCATTATCTGGATGAGGGCCTCTTCTGTCCGCAACCAGCTCTGTCCCATGTGTGGGAGGCCGCCTGAGCTGGTGGAGGACGAGGGCTATGGGGATGGCTTCACCCGAGAAGAAGGAGAGCCCAATACTGTGGACGTCTGCACCTTGACCTGAGGCCCAGCCTCCTGCCCTGTGGCCCTGTGGTCTGAAAGCTCTGCCAGGCCCTTCTGGGGCCTTCGAGAGCCATGGTAGACTGGTCCCACGCAGGAGCCCAGACTGGGGGCCCGTCACACAGAAGCGGTCTTCGAGATTCACTGAGGATTGGGAAGGTGCGTGGGAAAAACTGACCTTTCAAAGTGTTCCCTTGAGGGGGCCTGCCAACAGCAGGGTACTGAGGGGATCCCAGCTGTGATGGATGGCACAATAAAACATGACCGCTTAATGAGCAGGGCTGCTGGAGGCATCCCAAGAAACCCATCTGACCCAGGCTGAGCTGCTGGGGTCCAGGGAGTTAGTCTATATGCAGTGCAGAGCATGTGGTACAGAATCTCTACCATCCCTCTCAGCCACTGGGGTGGGGGAGCAGGTCTGGCAAAGGTGCCAGCTGGCCCTTCGGAGCCTTCCTGGCAGTACCTTGCCTCAGCCCCCTGCCCCACGCCTGTTTGCCTGTCTCAGGTTAGCGCCCTCACTCTGGGCAGGCCGCTCAGGCTGGGCAGCGCAGGCAGCACTCCATTCCAGCCCCCTTCTTTCCTGGAAGACTCGCACCGTGCCACGATGTCTGTAGAGGCGCTCGGGGGGCCTCAGGGACCCAAATGCTTTCTCCAGTTCCTCTAACATCCAGTTCATCTTGGTGACTTTTCTGTTCTTTTCCCCTTCGTTTTATTGAGGAAACTAAATCGGGCAGATATTAATTAACTTGTCCAGGGTCACACAGTTTGGATGTGCAAAACCGAGGTCCTGCCAGGCAGTGGCCAAGCCGAAGCACGGGCACCTACTGCCATACTGGCGTCCTGGTTAGGTGGCACGTCAGCACCTCCATCCAGAACATTTCAGCCCAGTCCAATTCAACATTAATTAAACACCAATTGTTAAGTCACAGACCAGAAGGCTGGAAAGGTAGGGTGGCATCAGATCTTAGATCCTTGACCTTCATTGCCTCTCTCATGTAGGTGCTGAGGCAGAGGGAGATAGAGAAACAAACCAATTCCCTCCATCTTGGGGTTTCAGCTGAACATAACAATGAATATTATTAAGTATCTGTTGTGTGCAAGGCCCTGGGGATACAAAGACAATTGAAAACTCCCTGTTTTCAAGGAGCTTACGTTCTGTCGTGGGTATGATCCACAGATGAGTAAATAGTATGTTCAGGAAACAGTACTAACTGGGGAGGAAAAGCAAAGGCTTTTGTAGGAGAGGTGGCCCCTGAGCTGGGTTTCGAAGGAAGCTGGGGATTATATGAGGGAGAGGGAGATCTCAGCCCAGCAAGAGACTGGAGTTATGGTTATAAGTGACCATAATACAAAACATAATGAGAGCATTGGGAGAGATGTAAATCAGATGCCACATAAAGTCCAAAAGGCTGAAGGTAGGCCTGATAAAATCCTGGGATTTTAGCTAGATGTGGACAGGAAGAAATCAGGGAGATGAGGAAGGCATTTGGGGGCAGGGAACTGTATGGACAAGGGCACAGAGACATGAGATCTGGGGCCATTGAGAAGTCCAGTTAAGCTAGAGGATGGGAAAGGCCTAGAACCTGGAAAGGTAGGATGATGCTGGATGGTAAAGGTGCTAGACCGAGTCTGCTGTTCAGTGCCTCCCTATTGTCTATGAGAAGATGAGTGAAGGGGACAGAGCTTTGAATGAATGAAATTATATTTGCAGGGTGTGAAGGATGGATTAGAGATGGGAGAGGCAGTTATCACAGTGAAGACAACGGGTGATGAGGACCACGAGCAGAGCTGTGGCTGTGGGCATGGAAAGGATGTTGGGTGGGAGAGGAAGGAGAAGAGATGGCTTAGACTGCGGGGGTGGGGAACCTTTGGCCTCTAGGTCCTCAAGTTCGGTCCTTTGACTGAATCCAAACTTCACTGAACTTTATCCCTTTAATAAAAGGATTTGTTCTGTAAAACTTGGACTCAGTCCAAAGGCTGCACCCAAGGACCTAGAAGGCCACAGGTTCCCCACCCCTGGCGTAGGGGTTACAGGCTGCTAGATGGGGACACCACTTCCTGCTTGAACTCCCCCCAAGACTGGTTCTGGTCTTGATGGGGGAATGACTCCCTGCCTTGGCACCAAGTCGCCATGGCTAGCCCTGCGTAGGATGACCAGGCTGGGAGGTTATCCCTCCCCAGCTAGGCACGGGTCCTAAGGGCTTCCTTACGCCTGAGTAACCTGGAAACTTCCCCTCCCCTACTGCCAACCAAATGGCATCATAGGCAGTGGTGTCCGAAATGGGACGCTGAGTCGAAGGGGTCCCCTACTCCTGAACTCCTATGGCTCCCCAATGACGTTAGGATCAGGTATCAAAATTGCAGTTTATCCTTTTTAAAAAATAAGTTTTTATTGATGCCTTTTGTTTTCTACGTCGTAATTTCTCCCAGTGTCCCTCTTTCCCCACCCCAGAGAATAAATAGTATTTTTTAAGACAAAAAAGAGGAAGAAAAACGAGCACTACTGACCAATACATTGAAAAAGTCTAAAAAAAAAAAAACAACATGCAGCATGCGTGGACCTCCGCCCTCCGGTGCCTCTTTTTTCTTTCTCTTGAACTGTGCTTATTCTTTATAACGTGTGTGCGTGTGGTCCTTTCCACTTACGTTGTTGCAGTCATTGTGTAACAACAGTTTTCTTGGCTCTGTTTCTTTACTCTGCGTCAGTTCATGTACATCTTCCTACGCTTCTCTGCGCTCATCACATTCATCATTAATTTCATCCTTTTAAAATTTCTATTTGTGAGGCAGCTAGGTGGCGCAGTGAATAGAGCACCGGCCCTGGAGTCAGGAGGACCCGAGTTCAAATCCAGCCTCAGACACTTGACACTTACTAGCTGTGTGACCCTGGGCAAGTCGCTTAACCCCGATTGCCTCACCAAAAACCAAAAAACAAAACAAAACAAAACAAATTTCTATTTGTGTTAGGTTTTATGACAATTATTAGTATGGTAGCAAGTGTATGGAATTTATAAATGAGCACATGTGCATATATTGAGGATGAGCTTAAAAGTTTGTTACTGATAGGGATGAGCCAGGAATCAAATAAGTTTGGAGACCATCCACTGTATTAGTGAGCAATCAGGGCATAGTGGATGGACAGCTGGCCTCAGAGACAACTCTCAACAACTATGGTGACTGTTTACTGGCCTGGTTCATGCCATCCAAGAGGTCTTACCAGAGCTGTGATGTCATTTCCAGGTTAGGAGATTCCCTCTGCCAAGGCACAGATAACCATTTTCTCTGAAATAATCCCAGAGGGCTGCCTGGAGGCAGAGGTAAGATGCTTTGCTCAAGGTCACACAGCCAGCATGAGTCAGAGATGACTCTGAGACCAGCTCTATCTTAGGGAGATACAAACCAAAGGATGAAGATGGCCCACCCATTCAGGGGAAGGAGGCGGAAGCCCAGGGGATGAGGAGCTGTTGGGAGGCGGATTTTAATGGGCTGGGCGGTCCAGGCACAGGGAAGAGTGTGGACAAAGGCATGGTGGCAGGCAGAGTTAAGTTTGGAGCACAGCGTTTGAGGGGAGAGAGGAGCTGACACTGGAGAAGCGGAGCATTAGCAAACTCAAGGGCATTGAATGCCGTTAATGCAGAGGCTATCAGCCTCTAGCGTGTCAGGGACCCCAGCAGCCATCTCCTGAAACTTCTCACCTTTGTCCAGAATCCTGTTAAATGCATAAAATGAAACACGGAAGACTACAAAGGAAGCCAACAGGATTGAAATAAAGATGTATTCCCCCCTGGACTGCGTAGAACCCCGAAATCCAAGAACCCCGTGGCCGGGGCTGGGCCCCTGGCGAAGACCCCCTGCCACCTCTTCCTCGGTTAAAACCCCCGCTCCCCTGTGCACAGCGGACTTAAGAGGGCAGGGACCGTGCGTCCTTGTCCTGGTGCCCCCAGCCCCTTGCACGCGGGTGCTAGGACCTTCATCCATGTCTGCCCAGTGCCATTTAACAGAGGAGGAAACTGAGGCTCGCGTGCTTAAGGTCGCACAGCTTAGGTCTGAGCAGGGGTTTCTGCCCAGGTTTCTAAGTCCAGTCCATGAGGTTAAGCCTTTCTATGTATTTATCACAGCTGGCTTTCCGAGGTGGTTTGCAAAGCACTTTACACGTATTTGTTTGATCCTCACGACAGCTCTGGGAGGTCACTGCTATTATTAGTCCCATTTTATAGGTGTGGAAACTGAGGCAAGACAAGGTTAAGAAGTTTACTGGGCTCACACAGCTAGTAAGGGGAGTGCCATTCGAATTCAGGTCTTTTCAATCAGCGCTCTATCCACTGCACCACCTAGCGGCGGAACTCAGGAAGTCAGCCTTCCTCCCCAGCTACAAGTCCGGGGCCTGGGGGGGGCGGGGCGGGGGCTGGCCTTCGGGCGCCCCCTGGCGTCCGGAACTCAGCTCGACCGGGGCTCCCTCTCAGGAAGTTCTTCGGAGGGCCGGAAGTAGGAAAGGGACTCTCCCCGTGGCCGCCCTCGGATCTCGAGCTGGCTCCGCGGGGCCCCCGGCGGCAGTTATTCCCGATGGGTCGTTAGCAGCGCGGACAGCCGAGCGGAGCAGCCTCGCGGTCTGCCCTCCTCCAAAGGCGGTGAGAACTTCGGGGCGACAGGGGCGCGGCCTGCCCGAGTAACCCGAGCCTTGCCGCGCCGGGGGAAGGTCTTCCTTGGGACACCGACCCTCCAGGTGCGGGGAGGAGGGAGCTTCCCGGAGTGCGGCCCATTGCGCTTGCGCAGGTGATTGCCCTGGGAGAGTCCTCCCTCCCGTCTGTAAGGGGGCGGAGCTCTTAAAGGAACCGCTACAAGTTTTCCTGATCCCCATAGAGTCGGGACTGTAAGCTCCAGGTTTGGGTCCGTCGCCTCCTCCCCGAGCCTTCACCATTGGGAGGGGGCGTGGCCTGTGCCACCCCATCTTGGCCTCTTGGTTCTGGGATTCTCGCCTTTCGGCTGCAGGCTGCCCTGGGTTCGAATCCCACCTCTGACACATTCTGGCTGTGTAACCTGGGTCCAGTCACCTGACCTCTCTGAGGCTCGATTTCTACACCTGTAAAATGGGGATAATAATGGCACCTCCTCAGGGCTTTGGTGAGGCTCAGGTGAGAGATAATAAAGGTAAATGAGGTAGGCGAGAGTTGATGGGAATTGGGAAAAATTCATTTCAGTTCAAGCACTCATTGAATACATACTGTGTGCCAGGCACTGTGTGTGTCAGTAGAGATGCAACCAATGAGCGTTTGTTTTTTTTTTTTTTTGGTGAGGCAATCAGGGTTAAGTGACTTGCCCAGGGTCACACGGCTAGGAAGCATCAAGTGTCTGAGGCTGGATTTGAACTCAGGTCCCACTGACTCCAGGGCCAGTGCTCTTTCCACTATGCCACTTAGCCACCCCCCCCATGAGCATTTATTAAGGACCTACTATATAATGGACACAGGGTTAGGCAGTAGAGATACAAAGACAATCTGTAAGCATTCATTAAGTCCCTACTGTATGCCTGGCTCCCTGCTAGGCAGTGGGGATACAAAGACAGTTTTCAGTTATTAAGCACCTGCTGTTTGCCTGCCTCTCAGATAGTGGGGATACAAAGCAGTCTGCAAGTGTTTATTAAGTACCTACTACATACCTGGCACTGAGGATTCTGACAACAAAATTAAACTCTGGCTGCCCTGTGGAGCTAACATGATGCTGTTTCTGCCTTTCTTTGTGTCCCGGGTGCTTAGTAGTAACTCTAGCATACAGGAAGCATTTAATGAATGCTTGTTGACTGACACCTGGGGAGAGGGTGAAAACAGTATCTGAGCGTGCACAAGTCAGTGCTTCCTCTGCAGCCGGGAGTTGGAGACTCTGAGAGCTGAAGTCACTTGGCCAAGTCTCACAACTAGGCTGAGCACCAAGGCCAGCTCTCTATCTCCCCTGCTTCATAGGGGGGAGGAGGGGGGAGGAGTGGGAGGGGGGAAGGGGGAGAGAGGAGAGGGGAGTAAGAGGGAGGGAGGGGAGGGGGAATGGAGGGAGAGAAAGGGGGGAGCGAGGGAGAAAAGGAGAGAGAGAGGAAGGGGGGAGGGAGGGAAGAACAGAGGTGAGGGAGGGAGGAAAAGGAGGGAGAGAGGGGAGAGAGGGGGGAGGGGAGGAGGAATGGAGGGAGAGAGGAAGGGGAAATGGGGGAAGAATGGAGAGAGGAAGGAAGAGAGAAGAGGGGGAAAGAGGAGAGAGAGGAGGGGGAGGGGAGGGGGAGAGAGGAAGAGGGAGGGAGGAGAGAGGAAGAGGAGAGGAGAAAGGGAAGAAAGTGGGGGGGGGGGGGGGGGGGGGGGGGGGGGGGGAGAGAGAGTAGGGGAGGAAAGGGAAAAAAAGGAGGCAGAGCAGGACGGCAGAGAGAGACAGAGACAGAGACCCTGCTGGGCTGAGACAGGCAGAAGGCAGCAGGAGAGAGCAGTGTCTTGACCCCTGGAGGGGAGACATTCTCAGATCCTTGGCAGCCACAGGGAGGTCAGGCTCCATAAGGGATGAGAAGAGGCGGCTGGATTGAGGAGTCACGGATCACCTGGAGGGACAGACCCCCAGAGTTCAGCACGCGTTGAGTTTAGCGACTTCCCTTTAGCAGGGGACCTTAAGCTGGGCTTGGTGAACCTGTTTTTAAACTATTTTGATAGCTATATTCCAATATAATCGGTTTCCTTTATAATTCTATGGATTTCATTTTATGTGTTTAAGAACAGCCTTCTGAGAAGGGCTCCTGAGGACCCCGGAGGAGGAGTCCGGGGCATACCACAGGTTCAGAAGGCCGGATCTCCCCAGGGGCCCTGCTGGAGTCCCTTTTTCCCTGCCTTCCTCCCTGCCTGTCTGGAAATATGCTCAGGACTGAACCAGCCCTCCCTGGATCCTTCTGGCCTGTCTCACCCAACCTCACTCTCCAAGCCAAGGGGACTAATTACCCCAGCCTCCCTCCCCACTCTCTCCCTCTTGCTTCTGGAAAAGATAGTGGCCATGTTTGGGTCTGTTCACCATCCCCATGACCCCTCCCCAGGCCCCTGCTTCCACGTTAGAAACTGGTGCCTGGTACTCAGTAGGTGCTTAATAAATGCTTTTTATTCTTTTATTCTTCCCTCCCACTCATTTATCTCATCTCCCCTTCACTGTTAAAATGTATTTGCTGATTCGCCTGCATTGGGTGGCTTTTCTCAGTCTCCCGTCAGCTTGGGAGCCCCTTTGCCTCTTCCTGGCTCAGCAGGGCTGTGTCCTGCTGCTGTCTTTCTCGGTCTCCTTCGCGGGGTCTCCATGCAGGCCCTGCATTCTGACCTTGGGTATCCAGTGAGACACGAGTCCTTCAGGCGCAGTGGGATCTTCCCCTTGTCTCCTCTCTTCATCTCTCCCCAAAGACTCTGGCAGCTGGACGTCCTCAGCCCTGCTCTGGGTCCTGAGCTCTGTCACTCACCGCCAGGACACCTGCATCTGGTTGTTCTAGACCCTCGCCTCTCTCTCTCTCGAGGGCACGCCTGCCCTCAGGTTCAGCCCCTTGGCCCCCCAAGATCCAATCAGCTGCAAAGGGTTGTGGACTTGGTCTCCTCCTCCTCCCTCCGTGGGGGGCAGGAGGCTCTGCAGTCAGAGTCAGGACCCGGGCCGAGGCTGGAAGGGACCCTGGAAGCCACTTGGTTTAGCCCTCTTATTTTATGGAGGAGGAAACTGAAGCCTGGGGGATGCAGTGTCTTCTCCAAGGTCACACAGCACATCAAATGTCAAGAGGCAGGATTTGAACCCGGGGCCTCTGACTCTAGAACTAGGCCTCTTTCCTCCTTTGTAGTGCTGGACTTGAAATCAGGAAGGCTTGGGTTCCTCTTGTGCCCCTGATACTGATCAGTTGTGGGACTGGGCCTCAGTCTCCTCCTCTGTACCGGGGATACGCTGTCTGTGCCCCGGGCCTGACGCAGTTCTTTTCGCTCCTAGCCGTCGCAGGCATGGCCCACGGCCGGTCCCACAGGCGCTCCAGGAGCCGCAGCCGCAGCGCCTCCCACGGGCCGCCAGAGCAGGGGGAGAGGAGGAAGAGGAGGAGGAAGAGCAGTAAGGACGGTGGGAGGAGCCCGTCTGCCTCAGGCTCTCGGGGCCCACGGAGCAGCCTGGCCTCCAATGGGGAAGGTGAGGACGTGGAAGGACCCAGGCCAGAGCCAAGGTTCTTGGGCTTGCCCTGGATGCGGGGTGCCGGGGCTTCCATTCTGCTGGAGTTAATGTAAGGAGAAGCAAGGAGGGACAGAGTGCTAACGTCTGGAGGGGTGAGGAGCAGAGAAGGCTTCCTGGGGGAGGGGGCACCTGAGCGAGACTTGAAGGAAGATTCAGAGAGACAGAAGTGAGGAGGGCTCTGCAGACAGCCTGTGCAAAGGCCTGAAGGTGGGAGGTGAAAGGTGTGTGTGAGGGACCCCAAGAAGAGTCCTCTTGGGCTGGAACGTAGGCGCTCCATGCCCTCTGAGAATTGAAGGGGGGCCTCTTGGCTGGGCTGAGGGCCCCATGGGGACGCCCTAGGTCAGCGCGTGTGGGGTGCAGGGCTGGGGGGCCAGTCTGCAGCTGCTCTCCCTTCTTCTTAGGTGCCCAGCTAAGTGCCGGCTGTGGGCCTGGCCAGGGCTGGCAGCTGCCTTCGGCATCACTTGGTCTGATCCCCTCCTATTACAGAGGGAGAGCCAAGGTCCGGAGAGATTGTAGGAGTGTAGACTTGGAGCTGGGAGGGCCTTGGTGGCCATTGAGGCCAGCTCCCTCTTTGGTAAGGAAGTGGAGCCCTTGAAAGGGTCACAGGTACTGACTGGCAGAGGGGAGATTTGAACTCAGGGCCTCTGACTTGGAATCTAGTAGTCCTCCACCTACGGCAGCCGCTGCCTCCTTTTCACGGCTCAGTGTCAGATCAGTCAGAGAAGCAGGGTCACCATCCGACGTAGAGGCCGTTGAACTGGCCTCTCTAGTGTTCACAGGACCAAGGGTAACATTTTAACTTGGAAAAACTCCAGGGGGAGAGGGTCTATTTGGGCAGATTCAGATGCTCTGCGTGGCTGCCCAGCTCCTGGTTCTCTGTGACGCAGCGTAGCAGCCCATGGCCCGCTTTCCAGTGGTGGAATGTGGTGTTCTTTACGCTCGAAAGAGGTTTGGGCGGCAGGATGTGGGAGGTAGGGAGAGGGAAGGAAAGGAGGGAGGGAGGGGAAGGAAGGAAAGAAAGAAGAAAGGAAGGAAGAAAAGGAGGGAGAGAAGGAAGGAAGGAAAGGAGGGA